TTTACATAAAACAGTTATTTTCTATTTTTACTCAGATAAAAATATTTGTGCATAAAATGTAAAAATAGTAAATGAGAAAAATAAAACTATTATACAATATATTCCTGCGTCGAAGTTCTTTTTTGTTTGTTTTTGTTTTTCTGAAAACAATCTCAAGTTCCAAGAGTATTTGAGAGGAAGAAGTTCTCAGTGAACTTCTGATGTAGTGTATGTGATTCTTATATATTTCTCTATCTAAAAACTCTGGTGATTCTGAGTACACATTCACTCCCCCTCCCAAATAATTGAAAAGCCAAAATACCCTATGAGTTTGGGAAGGACAGATTCACTGCACTGAAACTAGTTGGTAGAGGACAGTCTCTTAAGAAAATTAGTGAAATCCACACAACCAGACTGCGTACTAAACATAAAAAGTAGCAGGTTGACTAGGAAAACTGAAGACTTGTCAAAATACAAGCCAGATCCTTGCTTTGCTTTTGGTTTCTGAAACAGGGTCTTGCTATGTGTTCCGCGCTTTCCTAGAGTGTGCTTTCTTGGTCTGGTTGGCTGCAAACTTGTGATCCACCTGCCTACACTGTCCAAGTGATGGAACACCACACGTGTGCCACCACACCCGTCCATCTTGGCTATCATTTCTTGTTTCAACAAAACTGCTGAGCAGAGTTTTCAGTGACCAGTTTGTCGAGATTTTAGGACTGAAGTCTGCCAGTGAAGTTTTTGAGAGGCATATCCTTTAGAATTTTAAAGGGGAAGTTGGAAAGATTTCAGAGGTAAAATTAGCCAAGTAGATGTAGGGTTAAAATATTTCATGATATGTAGTTGATAAACTTGCATGCTGTCTGGGGTGGGAGTGGGGGTGGAAGGGGATTCTCTGACATTTAGAGAGTTGCAGAGTTTTCCTCATGAATTGTGTAAAAGAAATAATGAGCACATCTCATCCAAAGAAGCAGTCAGTGCCATGTATCAATGGCACTGAGAAAAAAATAATTTGTTCCCAACATTTGGACCATTGGACATCAGGCAGTACAAGACAGGAAACTCAAGGGAAACACAGAAGAGGTAACAGCTACATCCAGCTTACTGTCAAGAATGAGGCTCCAGAATGTAGTAACAGACAGACCACTGGAGGCCAAAGCAGAGGGAGTTTTCAGAGCAGAGAAGAAAGCTGTGGGATGATCTCTGGGAAGAGCCCAGGAAAGAATCTTCAGAGAGGACACAGGACTGAGGAGAGTTGTCCCCACCAACTTGAGAACTCTCAAGTTGAGTTGCCTATTTGCATAGTTTTATTTATTTATTTTTGTTGGTCATGGTGCCTGAACTCTGGGCCTGGGTGCTGTCGTCCCTCACCTTTTCAGCTCAAGGCTGAGCCACAGCGCCACTTGAGCCACAGCGCCACTTCCTGCTTTCTCTGCTTCTGTGGTGCTGAGGAATCGAACCCAGGGCCTCAGGCATGCAAGGCAAGCACTCTACCACTGAGCCACCTTCCCAGCCCCATATACCTCTATTTCTAAGTAATATACTTTGACTGCTTCTTTATCATCTACTATTTTCCATGGAGTTTACACAGAGAGATTATGATTTAGCTTTCTTCACTATATAAACACTCCATTCTGTCATCCTAATACAGTAATAATACAACGTTTTTTAATTACATTGGCTAGTGCTGTACCACTTGAGCCACAGGGCCACTTCCAGCTTTTTCTGCTTATGTGATGCTGTGGAATAGAACCCAGGGCCTCATGCACGCAAGGCAAGGACTCTACCACTGAGCCACCTTCCCAGCCTTAGAATATTTAATTTTTTTAAAAATCTGGGTCCTTATTAACAACTTATGTTTTATAGAGCACCATGAGTCACTATATGCTGAGCACTTTATATATATAAAGTTTATCTCTGTAGTCCTCAGCAGTTCTGTGAGGGTAAGTATATTTTTTTAACCTTTTTGTGGATGAGAAATAAAAGCTTAGAGGAAATGCCCCTTTCCTGTGGTCACAGAGGTGGTAGTAAGTCTAGATACATTAAGCTTTGAGACTTGCCTTTCTGACTTAAAAGCTCTTGTAATTTTTACTGCTATTCCCAAGGTTTGTATTTTTCTTGTTTTAATAATTACATTTGTTTTCAAAGCAGTATTATGCATAGTTGTTGAAAGATGCTTTGGAAGTTTAATATACAAGGTTTTGGAGTACTGTTTGTAATATTTTGAGAGTTTCCTTAGATGGAAACACTAAATACTGAATGTAACTGCAGAGTGAACTGCTGTTGCTCTGGGGTGCAGTTCTTAGTTAAGCTTCTGCTTATGGAATAGTCTGAACTGTAAAGAGTCCAAATTCTTCATTTTTCTATAGTCCTAACATGATTGTCTCTTTTTAAAGGTATTATTATGATGGGGACATGATTTGTAAAGTTCAAGGCAAGAGATTTGTGTACAAGTTTGTCTGTGACTTGAAGACTCTTATTGGATACAGTGCAGCAGAACTGAACCGGTTGGTCACAGAATGTGAACAGAAGAAACTTGCAAAGATGCAGCTCCATGGAATTGCCCAGCCAGTCACAGCTGTAGCCCTGGCTACTGCTTCTCTACAAACAGAAAAGGATAATTGAGTGAGGCCCAGGACTTTCTGGGAGCCTAAAGTCTTTCTTACATATTTAGAGCAAGCAGTTGCTCTTACCTTTATTTCAAAATTTGAATCTTCTTTTATTTCTAGGTTGTACAATCCGATGCATGATTTTTTTATAAATATTTCATACTCTTGTGAATTTGGATCTTTTTACTTTGAGCGTATATTTTACAAAATGCATATGTTAAAGGATCGCCACAATTATCTGCAGGGAAAGCAGGTTCTTTGTGGGATAGTTTAACAGTCAGAAAAGCTAAAGTGGTCAGTATTAATGCCTAGCCCTACCAAAAATAGCCAGTAGCATCTGAAGATAAAAAAAGTAACATGTCTCCAGGAAACAGCCTGGCTTATCTATTTTTTGAAATATTGCTGTTTCCTTTCTCTGCTACTTTAGATGTTGCTTTACATAGAATCAGAAAATGGAATTGCTAAGCTAAAGCATGTGTGCCTGTTTCATCTAATCAAGCGGAGTTAAGATGTTCATAAAGGATAAAATTATAATAATATTAACAAATTCCTAAACTAAGATTATCAGGTTATTAAAATAATTTACCTATTTGTAAGAAAAGCATAATAAGTTGACTGGCAAAAGAGCAGTACTGAAGAAGAATGAGATCCAGGCTTAAGTCTGGCTTAAGCCATTACTAATTGTTTCCTGTGTAGATGACTCGTGTTAGACCAAGAATTTAAATTATTTTGAGAGAGGCATTCCAATAAACCAGCTATTGCAAATGTATATGTATATATATGTATATATATATATATATGTATGTGTATATATATATGTGTATATATATATATATATATCTATACACATACATACATACAGGAATTTATCTCTGTTTTTCCTATCAGAGATTGTAAAAACCAAAAGAAGTATACCTCAGCTAGAAAATAAAAGTTTGGTATAGTTTGGTATAATGCCTTTTCCAAAAAGAAAAACAAAAAACTACTCTGTAGCCAGTTCATGTAGCACCACTCATGTATTCTGATAAGTAAGTACTTTAGATCAGATAACAGTACCCTTTCAAGATGCTAGTAAGTTACTTCAAATGATCATCAAAGGGAAACCTAGACTCCATTATTGACAGTCTTCTCTTTAAAGAAAAACTTCCCACTTCCTTATTTTTTTTCCTTTTGAATCATATGTGTATGTACAAATATCAATATATGTCCTTTGACCACTTTATACATATACACATATATATGAAGGCTTAAAGATATTCAAAAGGAAGATTATTAAATTATTTTTAATTAAATAATTTGTATGTGAAATTCCTTACTACAAGCTAACACTATACAGAGATAGCTTTAAAAAACAATCTGTCATTTCTTTCTTTTGTTGTTTCTAAGGTGTCATGCACAAGTCAAATGAAAGACTGGAGGGAGCTTTTATAGAAAAAAGTTCATCCCCAAATAATCCTTTCTTAAACCTCCCTTATCATTTCCTTTTAAATTCATCCCCAGAACAGCTTTAGAAGTTGGTTATTACTGTTGATTAGCAGGGGCCAGGTGGTACTAGCACTAATTGGTGGCTTAAATGAACACCACATTCAGGATCCTAGGGACAAGGAAGAGAAGGTAGGTCTGATTTCCTTTTTTGGTAACCTGAAGTCATTTTGAATACTGGCTATAGGACTTCAACATGCACTGTTAGTTCATTTATAAGTCCTTTAAGATTCTGCAGTAAATACCTGAAAAAAAAAAGAAAATCTGTATCTTTCATTTATAAGTACAGAAAGTAGACTGACAAATTATTAGCACTCATTTGGGCACTGTGACTTTAAGAATGTCCAAATAGAATGTTATGCTATGTAACAGTATATAGAAACCCTAGCATCTGGTCACATATAAGTAGCTAACAATGTTTTAAGCCATCCTTTTAAGTCCTAGGGAATTGATAAGTCATTTCTTGTTTTAAAAAATACTAAAGTATAATCTTCTGGTATCTCAAGAGCTTAAGAATCTTGACTTTTAGATTTGAAATTCTTTTGATACATTATGTTAAAATTTTAGCAAAGCAGACAACAGATTTTTATATCTTAAATTTATGTATGTGTTTTGAAGGAAAGGAATAAAATCAAAGTTTTTTTTCTCCTTTAAGCATTCCTCAAACGCTTTTTTCTTCTTTTTACGCTGTATTCTGTGTTTCCCCCATTGGGAAGTTTGAGTTATGTTCTTTCTCGTGTGAAGAGTTTAGAGCGTGATCAGATGCTCTTTTCCTGCTTCTCTCACATAAGCTCGCCATCTCACCCACAGCTGACATGTCTCATTTTTCCAGCTGATTCAAGAAGCTTTTCTGCTTCTCAACAGATGAATAAAATATTCTGCTGCCCTTATTGAGGTTACAGTTTTCTATTAACTATAACTGTGTTAAGAAGCTATAATTCATGCTTAGTTGCTTTTTTTCTGTAGAATGATACATTCAAAGAAGACATAGATTATTGATTATCTTTTGTACTGAGTACAAGATAATGAAATGTTCACTTTTGTCTTAAAGCTATCTTTTTCCATGTGAGATTTATATTTAACCAACTTCCATACTGTCTTGCTAGCTTGAAAATTTGTGTTACCATTGGAAAAATCAAACAAAATCAAACAGAATTACCATGTGTGGTTGATCGTCACATACATCAACTGTTCACATTCGTTTTGGTATTAATCCATGTCAAAAATTAGGAAAACTAATTAGCTGTTTTTCCCTGAATGAACAGTGATACTCAAGTATGATATTTCTTTTAAAGGGCTGTGCCTCCAGATACTTTTGGTGAGGTCTGCTTTTTTCTGCATTCATCATTTTTGCTACTTTTATAAAGAACTAGTGTATCTTTGAAATAGCACAAGAATGTTTTAAAATTCTTAATTACAAAATGAACCTGATACTAACTTAATGTCTTTAGACCTAAAGCTTATAAAAATATGGATACTTCAATATTTCATTACTTTCCAGGAAAAAAAATACTCTCAATCTTTTGTAAAAGGAGGAGGATTTTTGCATACATTTTTACTCTTTAAATAAAGACGCTTTTACTCTCATAATAACAATTATGTATTTCTTTGTGTTTTTGTAATTTTACATAAAACAGTTATTTTCTATTTTTACTCAGATAAAAATATTTGTGCATAAAATGTAAAAATAGTAAATGAGAAAAATAAAACTATTATACGATATATTCCTGCGTCGAAGTTCTTTTTTGTTTGTTTTTGTTTTTCTGAAAACAATCTCAAGTTCCAAGAGTATTTGAGAGGAAGAAGTTCTCAGTGAACTTCTGATGTAGTGTATGTGATTCTTATATATTTCTCTATCTAAAAACTCTGGTGATTCTGAGTACACATTCACTCCCCCTCCCAAATAATTGAAAAGCCAAAATACCCTATGAGTTTGGGAAGGACAGATTCACTGCACTGAAACTAGTTGGTAGAGGACAGTCTCTTAAGAAAATTAGTGAAATCCACACAACCAGACTGCGTACTAAACATAAAAAGTAGCAGGTTGACTAGGAAAACTGAAGACTTGTCAAAATACAAGCCAGATCCTTGCTTTGCTTTTGGTTTCTGAAACAGGGTCTTGCTATGTGTTCCGCGCTTTCCTAGAGTGTGCTTTCTTGGTCTGGTTGGCTGCAAACTTGTGATCCACCTGCCTACACTGTCCAAGTGATGGAACACCACACGTGTGCCACCACACCCGTCCATCTTGGCTATCATTTCTTGTTTCAACAAAACTGCTGAGCAGAGTTTTCAGTGACCAGTTTGTCGAGATTTTAGGACTGAAGTCTGCCAGTGAAGTTTTTGAGAGGCATATCCTTTAGAATTTTAAAGGGGAAGTTGGAAAGATTTCAGAGGTAAAATTAGCCAAGTAGATGTAGGGTTAAAATATTTCATGATATGTAGTTGATAAACTTGCATGCTGTCTGGGGTGGGAGTGGGGGTGGAAGGGGATTCTCTGACATTTAGAGAGTTGCAGAGTTTTCCTCATGAATTGTGTAAAAGAAATAATGAGCACATCTCATCCAAAGAAGCAGTCAGTGCCATGTATCAATGGCACTGAGAAAAAAATAATTTGTTCCCAACATTTGGACCATTGGACATCAGGCAGTACAAGACAGGAAACTCAAGGGAAACACAGAAGAGGTAACAGCTACATCCAGCTTACTGTCAAGAATGAGGCTCCAGAATGTAGTAACAGACAGACCACTGGAGGCCAAAGCAGAGGGAGTTTTCAGAGCAGAGAAGAAAGCTGTGGGATGATCTCTGGGAAGAGCCCAGGAAAGAATCTTCAGAGAGGACACAGGACTGAGGAGAGTTGTCCCCACCAACTTGAGAACTCTCAAGTTGAGTTGCCTATTTGCATAGTTTTATTTATTTATTTTTGTTGGTCATGGTGCCTGAACTCTGGGCCTGGGTGCTGTCGTCCCTCACCTTTTCAGCTCAAGGCTGAGCCACAGCGCCACTTGAGCCACAGCGCCACTTCCTGCTTTCTCTGCTTCTGTGGTGCTGAGGAATTGAACCCAGGGCTTCATGCATGCAAGGCAAGCACTACCACTGAGCCACCTTCCCAGCCCCAATAAAACCACTTTTTAAAAATATAAAAGCTAACTTAGGATCAGCATAATTTTTGCCAGTATGTTTCCCAAAGTAAGAACAAAATATGTGGACCAGTTTTACAATGATAGTTTCTGTTATTTGTATTGCAGTTTCTCAGATCAAACTGCATATGATACACATGCAGTGGGTATTTGTATGGGTGTCTAATCTGTATGAACAGGGAACAAAGTATGAATGGAGAAGTATTCTGTGAGTTATAGACTACACCTTTTTCAGGCATAAAGCAGTAGGAGGACAGGGATGCAAGCCTAATAGTGGAATCTGAATGTGAGGGAGGGGGGGAGGAGCAGGGGATCAGTGAAACCAGAATTCTATGCAAGCAGTGGATGAGTGAACACATCCACATGAGTTAATAAGAATTGGTGAAATACCCCAAGTCCTGATGGTTTGGGATGCTGGTGAAATGGCTGATCTTTGTAATGACTTAGCAAGTAAATCCTCCTCCTCTGCATTGCAGTAATTCATTGCAGCACTACTTACAGCCTTTGATCTTGAAAAGTTGCTCTGCTGTAGAAATTTCTGGCTAGCAGTTCATGTACCATTTTTCTTTCCATGCATTTCCAGGAACAATAATGGTTCACAGTGTCTGAACAGTAACAGGAGTGAGGATAAAAATGGCTACTTAGACACTTTATGGCCTCAAAGTAAATACGATGTCCTTGAATTCCATTGGCTGCTTTTATTGAACTCCTGCTTTCACTGTTAGTTTAAATGGGAAGGTAAAACAAATTAGGTAACTAAACACTGTTGTTCATCAGCAAGAATCTCCTGAGTATTTTGTCTGCATTTGAAAAACATGTTTTCAGATATTATTGAGCTGTGCAAGGACACAGGACGCAGACAGATGTGTTCATTAACACTCCCTACAGAGCATATTGTGATTATTTGTAAGTGGAAGGTGCTAGAGCTGAGATCCCACAAATGTTACCTGTTAGGAATCTGCCTGTCCTAGGCCATGATTTTCAAGGAGGGATTTATTTTTTTTTGAGGGGGGGGGTCTTGTCATGGGGCCTGAACTCTGGGCCTGGGCGCTGTCCCTCAGCTCTTCAGCTCAAGGCTAGAGCTCTACCACTTGAGCCACGGTGCCACTTCCGGCTTTTTTTTCTTTTTGCTTATGTGGTGCTGGGAAATCGAACCCAGGGCCTCATGCATGCAAGGCAAGTGCTCTACCACTGAACCACCTTCCCAGCCCTCAAGGAGGGGTTTTATTTGAGATTGTTTCTCAGTGTCACCAAGAAATCACATTTGTATGCAAGGTGATTTTTGTAATTGACATAATTTATACTTCAGGTTAACCTTTTTTTTTTCTTGCCTAAAAGTAGTGAATCTTACCTGTTTAAAAATTAAATTTTCCTTCTGACAATACTGGATAAATATAGTAAAGGAAAACAGTTAAAAAAAAGGTGAAGGGAAATCCAGGAAAGACTTATGAGTCAGTATGAAAGCTCTAACTGTAAAGCACAACAGCTAAAAGTCCATGTTGTTTTAAACTTATGTGCCAATAATACTAATGCTCAGCCTGAGGACATTTATTTGGAATTGTGCTTCTGTCCATCCCTTCGTCGACATCTATGGGCTTGGATGCTGACAGACTGCTGGTAAGGTAAGGCACACAGCAGCCAGCAAGCGGGAAGAAGGCTGTGTAGGAAAGACACTTACGTGTGAGCTGGACAGAAAGAGGAGAAAATAAATCTTTCAGTGGTGTACAGGTAAAACTCTTTTTTTTTTCTTTTATTTGTAAGTGGAAGGTGCTGGAGCTGAGATTCCACAAATGTTTCCTGTTAGGAATCTGCCTGTCCTAGGCCATGATTTTCAAGGAGGGATTTATTTTTTTGGGGGGGGGGTCCTGTCGTGGGGCCTGAACTCTGGGCCTGGGCGCTGTCCCTCAGCTCTTCAGCTCAAGGCTAGCGCTCTACCACTTGAGCTACAGCGCCACTTCCGGTTTTCTGGTGGTTTATTGGAGATAGGAGTCTCACGGTCTCTCCTGCCCGGGCTGGCTTTGAACCACGATCCTCAGATCTCAGCCTCCTGAGTAGCTAGGATTACAGGCATGAGCCACCAGCGCCCAGCCAGGTAAAACTCTTGTAGATATTCATAGGTATGTATGATGGATAATCTTGTCGACTTGATTGCATTTGGGACACCTAGGAGATGAGTAAAACACACCTCTGAGTGCGTCCATAAGGGTATTTACAGAGAGAATTGACTAATGGGGAAGACCCATTCTGACTTTCTCTGCTTCCTAGCCTTCATGATGTGAGCTCTACCTCGCTCCTCCACCATCATCGACTGAATCAGGATGTAATCAGGATGCTGTCTTCCCTTAGATTTATTTTCTCAACTATTTGGTAAAAACAATGATAAAACTAGTACAAAGAGTGTTTGATTTCAGGATTTTCCCACAGGTAGAAAACTGAGGATGTTTAAGCCTCCTGTGAAGTGGATGGTATTTGCATAAAACCTCCCACATACTTCTACTCAACTCAAAGCTGGCAGGGAGGTAAAAATGGAGGTCCCTAGGGGAATTCACATCCTTTGGCACCTACATTATAGTAAACACTAAACATAGTCCAATTTCTAGTCAGATCAACCTAAAAACCCACCTAAAATCCCTAATATCTCAGCTCCTATAACCTAACAACATCATGGCTGGATTAAACTTTCCAATATCTGGGAATAATAAAATTATATATAATATATGTAATTATACATTGATAAGTATATGTGTTATATAACATAACAAATTATAATTAATATCAAACTAACTATATAAGTTTAAATATAAATTATATATTTGTATAAGTATATATTTTAATATAATTTATGTATAATATATACATAAATTTTTATGTATAAATATAAATATAATGATCACACACACACACATGTATATTTTTTTCTTGCCTTTGCTCAAAGGCAAAACATACCAGATCCAGGTTTATTAGGATACAGATTTTGGAATCATCCAACATAACTATTATTAATTTGTCATGGAATAAATAAATGTCAGTAGCAGGTGATTGTAGTAGGTGGCTTTTTATATGGTATCAGATAACTGACAGAAACAAATAGGAAAGATTTATTTTAGCCTATAGTGTCAGAGGTTTAGTTATGATTTCTGTGCCCATTGCTTTACCTTAAGTATGATAGAATATAGTAGTGCATAGCAGCAAAGATCTGTTTGGCACATGATAGTCAGGAACAGAGAGGAGAGATACAAGAAAGGGGCAAGACAAGATATGTTTCCCCCAAACATAACTTCACAGACCTTCTTGTTAGGCCACACCTCCTGACATTTCCAGCATCTCCCCAAAGAACAAAACCAGCTGGGGCTCAGGGCTTCAATACATGAGCCAGTGAGAAATTCAAACCATACACTGGGTGGGTATAAGCACAGAGTTGGAAACTAAGAAAGGAATCAAAATAAATTCTAGAATTAA